TTTTACCTTCATAGGTTAGCACTTTGACCTTCCTTGGATCGGACAACCTCGCCTTGGAGATGCGAGCAGTGAAAGGCGTGCGATGTGCTTCCTCAAGCACTTTATCAATCTCTGGTGCTTTACTGGTCGCCCAGTGCATCTGGGAGTGAATCGCCTTCAGATCCAAAGTTGTTTGGCTTATGGAAGCGCATATTTTGTCTAACTTGGACCGTCGTGCACGTGCTGCAGTCCTCCGCGGTCCTATGGTTCGCTGTTCTTCCCAGTGGAGGCTCTCTTCTTCTTCGGCGAGCTCTTCAGCGAGCCACTCGTCCTAGTCAAGATCAGCTGTTGTTTGAGCAGTCACGGGTCGTCGCATGCCTACCTGCCCAGATTCTCCTGGCGCATCCGGGTGATCTTCTACGTCATCCTCTAGATAGACTACTCGCTCTGATCCATCGGCGGATGGTGCGTCTCTTTTGATATCTCGCCCGCCGCTACCGTGGGTATAGTCGGCATTCAGATCGAGCGGACGAACACAACGAACTATTTGCGCCTTGGCAGGTGTTGAGAAGAATCCACGGCCCGCCGTGCAAGTGTCGTACTTCTCCCACAGCTCACCATAGCAAGAGAATCAAGTTGGTTCATCACCGCGCTGTTGAAGATATCTTGTTCCTTCGATTTTCGAAGGATTTCTTCTGACATGCCCTTTTATTTGGGCTAAAGTTTCAGGATTGGCCTCCTCGATGGGCGGTGTCTGTTCCTCTGTGGGTCCTTCCGCCGAAGTGTTCTTTTCCCCAGATCAGTCCTCCGTGGTTTCTTTTGGGTCGTTGTCGTTGTGATCTCCGTCGTTGGTCATCTTCTTAGGATCTTACGCGGTGGTTCTTAGAGTAAAAAGTTTTATCTTCCCCTTAGACATCGCCAAATTGTGCGAGTCGAATCTCACAATTAGATTTGTCTTCATAACTTTTCTAGGGTTTGAATACTTCTGCGGAAAACCACTAAAAATGTAGAGATCTCAAGAGAAGATTTTTATTAAGCTATTAAGAAAGCTGCTGCAAAAGTACAAGTGTTTTCTCTTCAATTTCGGATCCCCATCATGGAGGATGTTTACATGTTTATATATTCCTCTTTATTCAACTACTTCCATCCACTCAGTGAGCCTCCTAGTAGAGGACAGCTAGAGTCAAAGCCTAAGACTTGCCATTCACCAACTTCCACCTACTCATGATATATGATGCTTCAATAATTAACATCAATTAG